CCTCCACCCTCACGTTCCTCCTCCTCCTCTCTCTTATTTTATAAAGCTTCAGACTGCTGGGAAACTTGAAAATTGACCAGCCAAGTAGGAAATGCATTTGGTATTTTAAAACAATGACTTTGTCCTCCAGTCACTTTGGGGACAAACTGCCTTGGAGCAACTCAAGTCTTCCCAGTATGCAAATAGCAGTTTCTAAAATCCCAGGTTCGGGAAAGCAGTCAGAAGGTCATAGAGATCCTCACCACCATTCCTTAGGACCTTCCTTTGCTGCGACCGGAGTCCACTCTGATATCTTACAGAGCCCTTTTCAACCTCGGGAGGAGCAGTTTAAAGTCAGGTCTGTAACTTTAGGTACCTGAATTTAGAACAGCCGCTAGGACAATGCTGCCCAGCTGCCTCTTTCTCCCTGTAATACGCTATTTCTCCAGCAGGTGGAGCTGGGAGATAAAAACTACAAGCCTGTGCCGGATTCCTTTGAGTGGGAGCTATCTCTGCTGAGATCCTGATTGAATGAAAATTGTTCATTATGCAAACTGTCTGGTTCAGTACACAGAGGCAGCCCCCAGGCGCAAACCCCAAGTAGTTGCTTTTTCTCTCCCCAGATTAAAACATATGAACTGCTTTGATGTAATCTTATAACAAAGCCTAATAGAAATTTTATTTCTTCTGAAGTTGCCTGTCATTTCTTATTGCCCCCCTTCCTCTGTCCTATTAATACCCTTACAGTCAAGGATATGCTGCTCTGAGTCTGGCTGTATTTGAGGATGAGAACGTTGTGTTTTCCTCCACAATGGTTTGAGTTATTTAAATATAGCTACACGGCTTTGGATATGTTTAATCTCCTGGTTTTCGCCCCCACCCCCACCCCGTTGCCATTTATCATTTTAATGGAATGCTACAGAATGCCACATTATGCAATGTGTTTAAATTGATAAATTATATTAGGAAAATATTGGATAGGAGTTCTTAATGGTAAGTGGGTTTTTGTGGAAATATTTTCTCATTAGCAGATCAGCTCCTTGCAGGGTAGAAATTCTAAGGATTTGGGAATAAGCTATATTTATGACCTATTTGGCTAATTAAAATTAAAGCATAATTTTAGCATGAAGTTCCTGCAAGACTTTGCAGAGAGGGTGGAGAAAGAAACTTGCCCAAATCCAGTTACTTTTAAATGTCAGTTGCCATAACAACTTCGCATGAGCCATATTTTTTTACTTGAAAATTCCTTTTAGGATTCGGTTGCTATAATAATTTGCCTCAGCTCTTTTTAGGAGGCATATTTTCCTATTTTCCTTTTGTGATCATTTCAAAGCTTTCATTACTGTAACAAAAAAAAAATGACCATGTAAACCTCAACTCTCCATTTTTCCATGTGCAAGAGCAGAGTGGTCCCCAAAATAGAAATGTGGTCTGTGGAGAATTCCTTTCCAGGGCGGGCTCTCCAGGCCAGAGGGAAAGGCGAGGCTCTGGGGATCCATTGTTGCAGCAGCCAGCTCCTTCTGGCCAGGAATGATTCAACCAACAGATCTGGTGTTTTCTTTTTGAGACAGAGTTATTCTATAGCCCAGGCTAGGCTCAGACACAAAATAATCCCCCTGCCTCAGCCATCTGAGTCCTGAGATTCACGAGCATGAGCCACCACACCCCAACAGAATTTTCGAAAGTTATTTTATGTGTTTGAGTGTTTTGTCTGCACCGCATGTTCCTGGTGCCTGAAGAGGCCAGAAGAGGGCAACAGATCCCCTAGGACTTGAGTTACAGAGTCGTGAGCCACCATGTGGGTGCTAGGAATAAAGCCTGTGTCCTCTGGAAGAACAGCTAGGGTTCTTAACCCTCCTCACCATCTCTCCAGACCCCTCAACAAAGGATTTAAAGCGTGACTATTAAGCTTTCCTGTGTCGTTGTAGAGTTTGGGGTTGTGCCAGGTATTGAACTCAGGTCTCCACACATGCTCGGCCAGGGTTTGCCTCTGAGTTGACACCAAGCTGGTGCCCTGGACATTTTGCATAAGGCAAGGACCTAACCAACCCTCTCAAGAAAGGATGGGTTATTTAACATCTTATTAACATCGTATGAAGCCCACTGGAGTCTTTCACCTCTGAAGTGTATTGTCTGGCAGAGTCGCTGGTGCTGGACGACAGAGCGGAACAATCCCCAAACTATTTACTTAAAAGCAACCCGGCAGCAGAGCTAAGTTCAGCGCCCTTTCTTCTACCAAGTGGCCCTAAACCTTAGTTCTTTAGACAATATGATCTCAGAGAAGCACCTGTGACTGAGACCTGTTCTGGACACGGGCACACGAGAGGGCACAAGAGCCCTGCCAGCCCTGCAGACTCTCCAAGGCAGCTGCGATCTGAAAGCTGTGGTCTGAGGTAAAGGGCTTGTAAGTGGGAAGGACATTTCATTTTCAGGTTTGTGGCTCCATCTCGTAGGTGGAGCCTGACTGCTCCTGCTCGTCTCCTGTGTCCCTGGTCAAATCCGCAATTAAGTCTCACCAGCTTTAGGGACACAGTAGGTCTTCATCTTCGGATCCAAGTTCTCTCCTCTCCTGTCTTTTCTCCTCCCTTCCCAACTCTGGTGGGTTTTGAGTGGCCATCCTTTTATTTTGAACATTTATTTATTTATTTGCATGTGTAGAGTTCAGAAGATAATTTTCTTTTTCCTTTTCTTTTTTTTTTTTTTTTTTTTGGTTTTTTGGTTTTTTGAGACAGGGTTTTTTCCCTGGGTAGCTTTGCACCTTTCCTGGAACTCACTTGGTAGCCCAGGCTGGCCTTGAACTCACTGAAATCGGCCTGGCTCTGCCTCCTGAGTGCTAGAATTAAAGGTGTGCGCCACCACCGCCCGGCGTCAGAAGATAATTTTCAAGAGTTAGTTCTTTCCTGTGGTTCCAAGGATGGAACTCAGGTCATCACATTTGGCAGCAAGTGCCCTG